TGAGGGATTAGTAGGCACATTACCATTAAAGGGTGTAGTAGAAAGTTTATTGGATTGCGCCTTCTCCCCCAACCTTCCAACTCCCACACGCAAGAGATCAGGCAGTGGGGGCACAGCAAGGGCAGGCACAGAAGACTTGGCTCCAGATCAGAACTAGTGCCCACCCAGGACGGGCTCGCTGGAGCAGCTCAGAGTGCCCACCCTTCTGGAGTGACTTTGATCCAGGCTGTTCTAAATTCCCCCACCGGCAGCTGGGATGGAGGGCTGCTTCCCTGTCCCCTCTGCAAAGAGAATGCTCAGAGCTTTAATTATACCTTCTCTCTAGATCCTTCGGGGGCCCCTAATTATGCTCTTCCCAGGGCAGCTGCTGCTAGATTATTTCCCAAACACCTTTGAAGCTTTCAAAGTCAAAGCCTCCCATGGGCTGTACGTGACTCTAAAGGGACAGCAAAATGGGTAGATGGGAGCAATAGCTGATGAAGGCCCCAAGGCCCCTTAAAAGGGTCTAGAAAGGAAACCATGTTCATCTGCCTCCCAGTGGGAACAAGGTGGTAGGAGGAAAGCGATGACTAGGAAGGGGCCACTCCTGTCTTGTTCTTGGGCTCTGAGTGGTGGTCACAGAGAACTGTGGGAGTGTGCACTTCATGTCTTCTCAGAGCAGTGATGTCGCAAAGCCTCACACCAGAGGCTGGCCCCAGCTGGCCTGCAACAACCGCATGCAGACGCACCCACTTGCGCACCGAGTGTGCCTGCTGCCCTGCCCACTCCCTCCTTGGCCGCCCTGTGCATGGGCATGCCCTGCCTGGGGAGACCAGGTCTGATCACAGAGACATGTTCCTCTCCACATCCAAATGGAGCCGAAATGATCCTCACCCCGCAGGCTTGGGCAGAAGGCGATTTGAAGATTTTTTTTTTGAGCCAATATACTTATTGATTTATGAGCTCTTTTAATAAAATTGGGTCTCCACTTCTGGGTACTCTTTAAAGATTTTTTTTTTTTTTTTTAGAAAATTATCCCTAATTTCACCCCATCCACTTGACTGAAACTCCTCTCTTGAATTCTGATCACCAGTACCATGTTGTGGGCCCCAGAGCCTCTCCCATTCAGATACCCAGGGCTCAGTTCAGCTGACAGCAGGACCCTGGTCCGCTGTTTCTTCCCCTAGACCCGACAATGGAGCTTCCCATATATTCCAATCTCCCCTTCCTGGGACTTTTCTTGCACCAGCTTGGCAGAAGACACTGCGCCTTCCCGAATTCTTCTCAGCCCTGTGGCTTCTGAAACATATCAACAAATCCCCTTTAAGGGTCGGGTGCAGTGGCTCATGCCTGTAATGCCAGCACTTCGAAAGGCCGAGGCGGGCAGAC